AGAGCAACATCTACATTTTCTGATTATTTAAATTTAATGTTAATCAAATCAACTGTTCCCCCCGCCATTCATGTTTATAATGTAAGCAGTAGTAACTACATTTTTTTTTCAAAAATTAAGTTCTTGATTGCCCAGAGTTTGGGCAAAAAATTAAAGCTAAAATTTTAAAAAATTAGAAAAAATAAATTTTCATTACATAAAGCCTAGCTTAGAAAAATATGTGATTTAAAAAATGTTAGATGAGTGGATTATGAATAAAAACTGAAATGCTCCGAGAAAGAAGAGTAGTTGAATAAATCATTGTATATGCACAAAGTAGAGTATTATGCAGCCATAAAGAAAAAAGGGGCTGAGCCTTCAGCCAATAGGGACGCCCATAGTCCTGCAGGAGTGCCTAAGGTGTGAGCCCCAGCTTCAGCTCCTAATTCCAGATTCCTGCTAACATGGACCCTCGGAGGCAGTAGGGGACAGCCTAAGTACTGGGTTCTTGCCACCCAAGTGGGAGACCCAGTCAGAGTTGATAGCTTCAGCTTTGCCTAGTCCTGGATGTTGTGGATATATGGTGAGTGAACCAAATATGGACAAGTTCTCCCTCCTTCCCTCTGTGGGTTTTTTTTTTTGTTGTTGTTGTTGTTGTTCGTTTGTTTGTTTTGCCTTCTGTAGTTCAACTTTAACCATGACAACACCAGCTCTGTTGAAATCTTTCAAGAAATCACTTAAAACATTTTAAAACCATCAGAAGGTTAAAGATCAAATTAAGAAATAGCTATTTATGAAAATTAAGGGTAGTGAACTAAAGGAACTCCCTTCCATGCCCACCCCAAGTAGCAAGGCAGAAATTCCCTTCCAGATTGCTGCAACCAAAGACACAGGACTCTCCTGTTTCCCTCCAGCAGTCTCCTCCAGCTTCAGCCTGGAGATTTCAAACTGGGGAAAGCAGAACTTCAGCTCTCCCTATTTAGTCCTTCGCTGCCTGGTGCTAATCCCAGGCAAGTGCACTGGAGAGGTGGGGGGTTCCGGAACAAAGGTTTTACTCTGCAGCATGGTGAGTGGATCAGACACCACAGCCCCTTCCTGGACTTGTGGGGTACTGGCCCACAGCTGGTGAGGTAGAATAAAAAAATGCTAAATTCCTGCCCTCTCATTTAGTGCTACGCTCCAAGATGCAGGAGGGCTCTTCTCTGAGAGAAGCCTGTCATTGTCCTCATAACCACTTTCAAAATTCAGGCTCAAGAATTTCTGCCTAAAGACATAAAATAGCTCCTACTCTCTTCCCAAAGGAAGTGGCTTCTTTTGCAACTGAGCACAAGAAAGTCAAGTCGAAGAGTCTTCTCAAAAACAATGGATATTGTGGTGACAAGAATGAAAAGAATCAGGATCTTGTGGGCTGGCTAGTTTGCAGGAAAGAACGGGGAAAATGGCAGCGTGGTGCCCGCCTAAGACAAATATCAACCACTGAGCTCAGAAATTCTTCAGGGCTGATGCTGTAGAATAACAGCTAAAGCGGCCACCAGCAAAACCAGGATCACATATGGATACCAGTTCAAGTCCCAGCTGCTGTACTTCCAATCTAGCTCTTTGCTACTGGCCTGAGGAAAGCAGCAGACGACTGCCCAGCACTGCCCCTGACACCCATATGGGAAACCAGGATGAATTGCCTGGTTTTGACCCAGCCATGCACTGGCCACTGCAACCATCTGAGTAGTGAACCAGCAAATGAGAGCTGTCTCTCCCTCTCTGTAACTCCTTCACATAAACAGGGAAAAAAAAAGTCTAGGAATCCTATGTGCCAGTCATAACAAGCACCTCACACTTTCAAAGCATAAATCTCTGCTCTCTTTCAGATCTTAAAGCTGCATGTGCAGCTCTTAGTATGTTTACTATTCTCCATTCTGCATCACTTGCAAATTCATCCTTCAGTCTACCTCCTCTGTGCAACATCCACTGCTCTTCGGGGCAGTAGGCCAATGGCCAAGAGGATAAGCTCTAGAACCAGTCAACCTGGATCCAAACTCCAACTCTACTACTTCACAGAGGACTCTGGTAAGCTTTTCAACCACTCTGCCTAGTTTCCCCCATCTACAGAAAGGAGGTAAGACCACCCAGGGTTGTTATGACGAATCAATAACATAATACATGTAATACGCTTTATAACAGGATAAGCACTATGTTATTCTATTTCAACATACCTAATGGTAATAATTTTTTAAAATTTTAATTTTTATTTGAAAGTCAGAATTATAGAGACAGAGACAGAGATCTCCCATCTGCTGATTCACTCCCCAAATGGCCACAATGGCTGGAGCTGAGCCATTCCAAAGTTGGGAGCCAACTGCTTCTTGTGGGTCTCCCATTTAGGTGCCATCCTTTGCTGCTTTCCCAGGGCATTAGCAGGGAGCTGGATCAGAAATGAAGCAGGCTGGACACAAATCTGCACCCATATGGGATGCCAGTGCCATAGGCAGAGGATTAGCCTGATATGCCACTGCACCAGCCCCTAATGGTATACTTTTTAACAATGAATCTTTCCCCATCAGTCCCTGAACTGCAAGGGCATAAAATTGTTTGTTTCCATATTCACAGCACAAAATACATAGCTAGGCACAAAATAAGTACATGCAAACAACTAAAGAAATGAATAAAAAAATAAACGTTTAGTCTGGCAATGTCAAAGGTTACACTCTTTTTAAATGGAAATCAGAGAGGGCCAGCATTATGACTTTATGGGTAATACTGCCACCTGCAACCAGCACCCCATATGGGTTAGGATTTGAGTCCTGCCTGTTCCACTTCTGATCCAACTCCCTGCTAATACAACTGAGAAAGCTGCAGAAGATGGCCCAAATGCTTGGGTCAGTGTCACTCATGTAGGAGACTTGGAAGAAGCTCCTAGGTTTGGTCTGTCCCAGACACAACTGCATTTGTTGGGAAGGAGCCAGCAAATGAAGATCTGTCTCTCCCTCCCCATCCTACTTCCCCACTCCGTCTTTTCTCTCGCAGACTTCCTCTGTTTCTCTTTCTCTGACTTCTCTCTCATTCAGACTTTCAAATAAGCAATATTTAAAACAAATTTTAAAAGAGCACAAGACTTATAGATACATCAGAACTGAAAATATGAATCAGACTTCCCTGCAAATTCTAGGCTGACTGCCAGAACTATCTAGAAAGAATCCAAATGCTTGACAGTTAGAGTAGTTACATAAATGATAACAACTCAACTCAGCACAGGGAATTTTATATAACAATTCATCAGTCCTACACTGATACCTGAGAAAGTCTGGACAAAACACCAGGCAGGAAGAGAGGAGAATGCCCAGAAGGACCCCATGGCTATTAGAACAGCAGCGTGTGGGCCTAAGACTCTATGCTGAAAGAGTCTTTACATTTAAATTAATTTTGAAATCTAAATACAACTTACACTGTTAAAGGATGCTTACAATGCATTTATATAAGAAACAAGATAAAATGGGATGGAGTCAGCATTGTGGTGCAGATTAAGTAGTCATTGCTTTATCATGCTGGTAGCCCATATCAGAACACCAATTCAAGTTCTGGCTGCTTTGCTTCTGACCCCATTCCCTGTTAATATGTGTGGACAGGCAGCAGCAGATGAGCAGAGTACTTGAGGCCCCCGCCACCACATGGAGACCCTGAGGAAATTCTGGGCTCCTGGCTCCAATCTGGGTCCCAGCCATTAGTGAACCACTAGATGGAAGACCTTTCTCTGTCTCTCTCTTCCTCGCTATGCCACTCTGTCAAATAAATCTTAAAATAAAAAAAACAATGTTGCCCTTAAAAAATTTCAATGTAATGAAAATTCCAAAACTTTAAATTCCTTAACACACAGTAAAAAGGGTCAAGTTTCTTGAATAATATAATTTTGTAAATAAATACTTTGCTATTAGGAGAAAAAAAAATCTGTGTACTTGTCTTTTTGTCAATTCTCTTACTTCTTAGGTAGACTTTCAGAGGTGTTTTGGTTACTGTTCACGTCAGGGACAATCAACAGTTTGAATTAAATCAGAGTTCTTCCTGAATAAGCGTTCTCATTTGCTATAATAAAAAACAAAATCTAAAAAGTATTTACTTGTACTCAAAGGTCTTTCAAGAAGTTTTACATTCACTTCACGTCTAAGAGTTTTCTCCAAAATTAAAACCCAACTTAGAGAATGGTAAGGAATAAGAATATCCTACTTGTTCGAAGCCCAACTACTCTAACTGGACTCTTACAAATTAAATAGGTATCTTGAATCCTCCAGCTTTTCTCTCACTAGCAACATTCCTTAAATTCACATGAGGAGCCCAAAAGCGTAAACAGAAATTCACTCTAAATATTTTCTCTACAAAAAAGGAAAAAAAAAAAAGAGGATGCATTATTCCTGAACCTAGTTCCAATCAACAAATCTATAACTTTCCTTTCAGATACAGTACAACAGATTAACTTAAAAACACCTTTCTAGTATTCTAATCAGAATTTCTCCTCAGCCTCCCCTTAAATACCTTAAATATTTTTGCCTAAAGTCCAGTCTGTCAAGGCAAGCAGTAGAAATTTTTAACTACTTAGCCCCAAATCTTCAGCATAATCAGCATGCAAATTTCATGAACACAGTACATCCATTCTCATGTTTCAGAAAACAGCCAGTATATGAAACTTCCTGAAACATTTACGATGCTTAGCACATCAAAACAACAAGAAAAACCCACAGAAAAATAAAATACCCAAACAAAAACTTATTCACTGTGGTTGTCAGGTGTAACAAACCATTGATCATTATCTGTTCTCCCACTGCAATTACAAGAACTTAAACACAAAGCAAACACCTGTCTCCTCTGTCCAAGAACAGCATTTCATATTTGTGTCAGAAACAATCGGCCAGTGGAGAGCATGCAATGTGCAGGTTGCCAATGTTTAACCATATTTAACACAAACACCTACGTACCCTTCACAAAGCAAGAGCCCCGCTGCACCTCATGCAAATGTTCAGAGACAGTTTTCTTACCTCTCCCATTTTGCCATGTAGTATACCAAGACAAGGTAAGGAAAGAAGTGACAAATGCTAAAGCAGTGGTTACAATTCCATTTCGGAGCCTCATCTCATTTCACCATCACATTCGTTCATATATTTATGATGACAACCAGGACTGCTGTTTTTCTTTTATCCCAAAGTCAATGGAATTCAGTACTTCTGGCTCTAGGCCTGTAAAGATTTACTTGAGCAGTTTATTTCAGATGCTTTGCAGAAGGCATCTAAGCAGCAAAACAACTGCTACTCAGGACCGACCAGGTCTTCACACACTGATGTCTCAGGCTTTCTTCTTTCCTGCAAGGACTGGGGAGAGAAAAGAAAAAAACTCTCATTCAAAAGTTCAAATGGGTTTCTTCCTTTATAACCCACCATTATTATAAATGGACTTTGCCTGGGCTAACCTGGATCTATAAAGATAATCTCTGCATCTAACTTACTCATTTAATATTTAACAGGTCTTCAAAAAGTTCATGGAAAATACTATCATGAAAAACTGCAAGCCTCTCAAAAGTTCTTGTATTACAATAAGCTTACCTTTTAATTCCATCTGTTCACAAACTTTTTGAAACATCCTATTAGAATTATATAGTCTTTCTTCTGCAAGAAAAAAAGGCTTCATACTAATTCCTTCCCCACTATTTTGCCTCATGAGCGAAAAAAAAAAAAAAAACAACAACAAAAACTATTCGTGGTTACTTGTTTAAAGGGAGAGGTTATGAGGCTCACAGATTCCAAGATGAGAGCTCTAATGATCACACAATGGTTCTGCCTAACATAACCTTCATGCTCCCCAATTTTCCTATTGCGTAACAAGTAATGCTTATTAAAAACATAAGAAATCAGGGTAAGTGTTGTTGAAGTTAAGCTGCCACTGGGAAACCCACATCCTGTTTCTGAGTATTTTCCATCAAGTCCAGACTCTGCCTCTGATCCCGCTTCCTGTGTCCTGCACATTCTGGGAGGCACCGGGTGTTGGCTCAAACAGTTGGGGTTCTGCCACCCATAGGGGAGACACATATGGAGTTCCTGGCTCCTGGCTTCAGCTTGGCTACTGTGGACATTTGGGGAGTAAACCAGCAGATGGAAAACTGGTATCTCTCTAGCCTTTCAAATAAACAAAAGTAGTTTTTGTTTTTGTTTGGTTGTTTTTGCTTTTAGTGTAAGATATTGACAAGACTACAATATATGATTCAAAATACCTGGGTCCTAGACTCAGCTCTGTCATTACTGACAGACCTTTGGTTATATCCCTTTATGCAGTCCAGCACTTTCATCCATAAAACGAGAAAACATGTTCTGTTCTGTTCTCTTTCATATGCGATCAGAAGTAATAAATTGAAAAGTTGTAATTTAGTTTGCTGTTTATTATTATCCTTATTAAAAAATCTTTTTCCTAGTGACTAATTTAATCCCAGGGTAAAAATGAGACTATTTATACATTCAGCAAATGTAGCAATTCAAGGGCCAGAATTATGGCTTAGCAAGCTAAGCCACTGCCTCAGACACCAGCATCCCATGAGGATGTCAGTCTGAATGCCTGATATTCCAACATTTCACTGAGCTCCCTGATAATGTGTCTGAGAGAGAGCAAAGGAGGACGGCCCAGTGCTTGGGCCCTTGCGCCCAAGTGGGCAGCCCAGAAGCTCCTGGTTCATGCCTTTGGCCTGGCCCAGCAGTGGCTAATAATAGCCATCCTGAGAGTGAACCAACTGATGGAAGATCTCTGCAATTCTACCCTTCAAATAAAATTATTCTTAAAAAAAAAAAAAGCCATTTCTAGGATGTTTTAACTCAAGAAATCTGAGAAAACACTACCCATCTAACAAAGCAGCTGAGAAAATAGCAAGAAATCATGACTTACACATGGTGTCAGACTCATCATAGGTTTTCAATAAATGTTAACTATATATATATAAAACAGTATCAACAAATATGTGGCCAGCCCCTAGTTCACAGCTGGTCTCATTCCTGGGTAATGGTAGGCACTTCCAGATGTGCACTGTTTCCTGGGGGTCTTAGGGTACCCCAAGATGTACTTTACAATATACTAAATGACATTCTACTGGGATGAGTTAATGCATCTCCAGAAAGGCCTAGCAACCCCAAGGGACAATCCTCTCAGTGGAAGAGTAGAGCTACCATTTGCAGGCAATTGAGAAACTACTCTCTCAGCTGCTTCTTAACACCGAACGTTACTGGAAATCTCCACTAGCTTAGGAAAACCACAGGGACACTTAATGATGATGATGATAGCCACTACAACTCACTAAATATTCCTTATGTACTGGGCCCATTAAATGGCTTAAAAGGTCACAAGTCCTGAGGCAAGCATTATTGACCCTATTAACAATAAAGATACAAAGCCACAGAGAAAACCCTCATCTGTGTGACTCCAAAGTCCAAGCTCAGATCTACCACTCTATTACCACTCTTTAGCTCTCAATTAGCTCAGCTGCACATGATCATACAAAAAGACGCGCCCAGTCCAGGCCAAGTCTCAGGTGGAACTGGAGAACATCCCCAGATTAAGTTTTATCAGATACTAAACAAATTTTTTTTAAAAGCTATATTCTGTAACAAACATGGGTCAATTATGGAATAATTTAAAAATCCATAAGGATTAACAAAATGTAAATATTTTAAGCAAATTTCTTAACTTCCTGCAGCCTTTGGCTGATACCTTCCCCTACTCCCAAGTAAATCACACCTGCTAACCTTCCTTGATCAGCACCTGTAACTTCTAGTTGAATTCTAGAAGCACTGAACCCCAACTCAAGGAGTACTACAACACACTACTCCTAACAATACAACCTAAGCACAAGTTCTCAAAGTTAGCATTGCTTTCTACCTTCCACAGTTAGTAAATGTGCCTAGGTCTGCAGTTTAGAAATGAAGTGTTCATGACAAAAACAAAGTATAATTTTAATTAAAGTCCATAAAGTGTTTATCTTAAATCAACAAGCACCCAACAATGAATTCTCAGTATAAAAACAGAGGTGAGAACTCAGTGCATTATGTAATACGGAATCTTAATTCTGGTGTAGCATTATATAAAAAATGCTTAGAACTTCGTTGCTATATTCTTGGACCTACTTATCTTACTTCAGAAAATATCGTGTTCTAGTAAAATGTCCAAAAAGCACACCAGTTATTAGAAAAAAAGTAATAAAAGAAATAGGAAATCACTAATAAGGGATATCTTAAAATTCAGTTGTATTAAACATAAACCACATGATAGCCTGTAGTATAAATAGCCAGACACAAATAAAATGAACTCCAAACTCAAAAAAAAACTACAGCCACTTTATTCCTAACACATGAAGAACATAACGAACACTAACTATTGGGGCTAGGAAGGTATTAACTCTGGACTGAAGAAGATACTTACATGAATTCTGCTAACAAAAAAAGACCTGATATTTTGCAAGAAATACATGAAAGGGTTTCCCTCAGAAAGAATGAAGTCATATATTTTTAATTAGGGTTTCCGCACTAATGAAGTTTAACTACATAGCACAAGTGAACAAAATCTCCAGATAAGAGCAAAACCAAGGAGCCACAGGCTCGGAAATCTTCAAAGGCGGCTGATCAAGCCACTTGTAAGACTCAGGTGACCCACATTTTCCATCATTTCCCACACGTGCAAACATTTTAATCCAACACCTTAAAAAAAAAAACCAGCAAGACTACCACTAGATACATTTGAATCTAACATACAATAAGGTTGAGGTCATCACAATTAGCCATTTCTGCATCCCTCCAAAAATGAATGCAACTCTCAAGCCGGACCACACAGTCTGCCTTGTTAACAGATGTAACAATATTTTTGTGCACAAACCTTTACTTTATCAAAGTGTGGTCTGAAATGATGGCGATCCCTTCCGTGGCTGAGGACTCTTGGCTGGACACCACCCCGGGGCCTGAGGGCCGACAGGCTCCATCCAAGGTAGCCACAAACCCATGACGTAAGCCTGGCTCACTTTCTTCACCACAACTCATCTGTTTTTCTTTTCCAACAAGATAACGTTGGCCTTGCCATGCTGCTTACATAATTTTATCAGCCAGTACGGATTTACACTTGTAGGAACAAAACACCCAGGTCATGATAACCTGTGAGTAAAACTCTTCTTTCCCTCTCCCCCGCAAGCCTATCGGATTCTCCATTCAGGAGTCCACAAACACACTCCTCAGGCCCTTTATCTTTCATGCAAGAATCCCTCTGACAGCCAAAGTCCCCCCTCTTCCCCGACAGGCAAGTACTAAAGACACGCCTCGGACCCATTTACTATTCGCAATGGAAGCGAGGAACGGGAAGCCCGAGAGCGCGCAGCGTCGTGAGGGAGAAACTCGGGCTTGCCAAGGGGTTCCAGCTGCTAGCTAGTTAGCTCACAAAAGCACATCTCCTCAGCAGATGTGCCACCTGAAACACCTCTCAGAAACGAGCCAGTGGGGGCGGGGGGGCCTCCCCAACACCAGGGATGGACCGAGGCCTGGACATGGGGGTGCGCTCTCACGCAGGACCAGCAGGTCCTGTCACTTGGGATGACAACCCGCACCGCGGCAGTGCACCCCGAATCCCCCCGGCTCGGGCCGGCCCTCCGCGCCCCGCTGGCCTCGCCCGCGCCCCACGCGCCCCACCTGGCCCGGCCCCGCCCGAGGACGTGGGCTCGGCCGTCCGCCGCCGGGTCCCGCCGACAACTCTCCCTGCCGCCTCCCACCTCGCTCACATCCACACACTCTGCCGCTCCACTTTTTCTCTCCAAGTCGACGCGCCCTGTCACGCCGAGGAGCGCTAGCCACGCACCCGGGCGTCCGGCCGGCACCCGGAGAGCGCGCGACAACCGAGCGGGGCTGGAGGAGGAGGAGGAAGAAGAGGAGGATGAGGAGGATGAGGTGGCGGCGGCGGCGTGGAGGACAGGGCGCCCCGCCCCCGCGGCCCAGCCGGCGCCCCGACCCGACCCGGCCCGGCCCGGCCCGGCCCCGAGCGCGCCACGGGCCACAGCAGCGGCTCCCCGCGCGCGCGACCCAACACCCCCCGGCCGGGCCGCGCGGCTCCGTTACCAGCAGGTGGATCTCTTCCTTCCCCACGGACGCCGCAGGGCCCGGCAACCGGCGCCGCCCCTCAGCCCCGTGCCCTTCGCGCAGCCGCCCCGAGCTCCCCCGTCGCCAGGCAGGCCTCGCGCCCCGAGCCCCCTCACCTGCCGCTGGCGTCGGCTGTCGGAGCCGCGGCCGCGGGCCGGAGCTTCTGTGGCCGCCGCCGCCGCCTCCGCCCCCTCCGCCGCGGCTCCGCCCCCCGCCGCGGGAGCGCCGCCCGTCCCGCCCACGACCCCGCCAGCCATTGGCCGCCGTCGCCGGCGCGGTCAGCGACTGGGCGCCCCGCGAGGCCCAGGGCCGCCGCCAGTGGCCGGCCGGGCTGTCACTTAGGGAGAGTGGGCGAGCGCCGTGGCGCAGCCTATATAAGTCTCGCGGCACGCCGTCCCGCCTACCTTTACTTGTCACCGGGAGGTGTGGAACCGCCGTTAGGTTTTGGGGGTGTACCTCCAGCCAGTCCGCCACCACATCTGGCGTTAGTCCCCGCTGACGTAGGCAGAGGCGGCTCCGGCTGCCGACCAAGGCCGTGGTGAGCCCGCGGCCTCCGCGGCCGGGTGCTGTCGGAACCCCGCGGGGAGCATGAGGAGCACCCCAGCTCCTTGCCTTCTTCAGCGGCGGGTTCCGTTCCCTCAGCCGTCCAGCCTAGACTGCCTAAGTGGGGAACGGGTTGTGGCCCCAGTCAGTCACCCCACGGACAGCTTTAGCCATGAGCACTGCTATTCCCAACTTAGCCATGAGGCGGCCCCGGGGCTCAGGGTGCAGGGCTGACTTTAGCAACTAGGAGACAAATAAATTATAACTAGGACTTCACATCGTGCTACCGACCCTGACTTTTCCCCCACGCCACCATGTTCTGGACCTCTTTCTTCTGAGCTCCCTGCACTCCCAGTCTGTCATTGTTTAATAAAGTTTGAGGCTAATTTCCGAACCTTGCAGAGACTCCTCCTATTTTTGTTAGA